AACATACTTTTAATTTTGTCTGTAATAAAGGAGTTTTTGTGCGCCACTGATCACCTTCTCCTTTGTTTGAATTATTTTTCTTGAGTATTCACAAATTCCCTATTCCGGTTGAGTGCAAAACTAGTTCTTTCTCTGTAACTTTCTCATGGGCTTGGTGTCTAGGGACTCCCGGAATACGTATTTTCGGTTGATCGTGTATATATATATATATATATATATATATATTTATTTTTTTTTTAGGTACCTTGCGGCATCTTTTTGGAAGTTTTGCATCTTTTTTTTTATGCCGCTAGTTGTCCTCAGTCTGATGGTCATCATTACTCATCCTACTTCCTTTAAGCCCAGGTCATCCTGGACCCTCCCAGTCTAACTGGACCGTTGAAGGAGAAGCAGCAAAGTGATGAGCTCATCTCTTTGTCACTCTGCTTTTTCTTCTTCTCAGCACATGAACTGATTGGCTTGTACTGCTTCTTCCTCTCACTCTCCAGCGTTGCTGTACATGGACTAAGGAGGCTGATACAAGGTCGAATTCAGGTACTTACTTTGCTTGTATTTAAAAAATACATTTAATGATGTATTAGTCTATATTCACACTTTTGTCGAGCCTATTCAGGTGATTTTAAAGGGTTTTTTTTTTTCTTTTTTTGCACATTATAAAAGTGAGGACACAATTTTTCTTGCACAATTTTGTTTTTGGCCATTCAGAATTTTATTATGGGAGCGCCTGATATTATCATATATTTTTTTAGATACTCCTTATGAAGTCTATTGGTCTCCTGTACTTTTTCTTTTACAGTGGATTTTATTATAGACAGCATAAAAACAGTCAAAAGCAAGATCACTAACACAAAAGAATAAATTATACAATTTTTCTGATGAAGGACATGACAAATGCACTGCAGTATTGACAAAGAGAGAAACTAAGTACATAAACACAATACATAAAAGTGTAAAAAAACAAAACCTCAGCGCTCAGGACTTCCTATTTACCATACAAATCCCCGTGAGATGCTGCTGTGCACAGGTACAAAGGACCAAAAACTTTTAACAATGAAAACCAGCGCAAACCCACATGATCAATTACATTACTCAGTTTAAAAAAACATTAATGTGCTAATAAAGTAAATTATATATAAAATATATTGATATATAAAAATTTAAAATTATAAGTCCAGTGACAAAAAAGCAAAGTGACAAAAAATCAAAAAAATCAAAAAAAAACCCCCAGAAGAAATATATATTATATATATATATAATTACAGTCCCGTGACAAAATTAAATCAAATTAAATTATAATATATTTTCCATTTTGATTCTTCCGTGTTACTGATCCCTTCACCATCCACCAGTGCAGAAATCAACATTAACCGCACTCACCAGATAATGGTGAGTCACACGCCTTTCAGGATTGTTAAGGGCTCCTGGACCCACTTTGACGCACTTCCGGTTGCCTGGTCCGTCGTCTGACGTCATTTCCGGTGAGTGGAGCGCACGCCGAGCGGTGCGTTCCAAGGGGCCATCTTAGCCTAAGTAGAAGAGTCTGTAGCTGAGGTCTGCCATCCTGCTGCACACTAAACTGTGGGGGGTCCTTGTATAATCGGTGTACATGAAAAGTGGATCATTCTTGAAGAGAATCGCTGTTGTTTTGAATAAAAAGTGGGCTATACCCCGCAAAAGAATGTGAGTGGTCTGGAGAGATTAATTTGAGGAGAAGTTACTGCGGTATCACGCTATGGTCTTTTCTTCTTCCTGATTTTCCTTTGGGGGATTCGGTGAGAGGAGTAAGCAGAAGAGGTACCTAGACATAAGAGGAAACAGCACTTGGAGGTCTCAGACAAAGTAAAGGGGGTCCAGGAGCCCTTAACAATCCTGAAAGGCGTGTGACTCACCATTATCTGGTGAGTGCGGTTAATGTTGATTTCTGCACTGGTGGATGGTGAAGGGATCAGTAACACGGAAGAATCAAATGGAAAATATATTATAATTTAATTTGATTTAATTTTGTCACGGGACTGTAATTATATATATATATATATATATATATTTCTTCTGGGGTTTTTTTTGATTTTTTGTCACTTTGCTTTTTTGTCACTGGACTTATAATTTTAAATTTTTATATATCAATATATTTTATATATAATTTACTTTATTAGCACATTAATGTTTTTTTAAACTGAGTAATGTAATTGATCATGTGGGTTTGCGCTGGTTTTCATTGTTAACAATACATAAAAGGGTGGAAAGAAACCTGATAAATTGCATTAATAGCAAACATGTAATGACCAATGGGCTAGTAGGTGAGAGCCAAAGATAAATCACAAAAATCGCATACAGAGGGTAGGAAAAGCTGGGCACGGAGCCGCACTGGGCGCACATCGGCACTCCACACCAAGGACTCTCGAGAAAGTCCAACAGGTAAATAAAACATTGCAGGTACAATTCTCTAGGAGTATTACAATCAGTGCAAATAACATGAAGACTAACAAAAACAGAGAGAAAGAAGAAAAAAAAAGAAAAGAAGGGAGAAACAAGGATAGTTAAGACAAAGAAAGGGCTCCAGGGGATCATGCCAGGAGTCTTATATCAACAGGAGGGTCTGGTCAAATCTAGATGGTTGGGCCACATCAATCCAAGGGTGCCAGATCTGCAAAAACTTTGGGTGGCTGTCTAACAGCATGGCCGTTAGCTTCTCATTAATCATTATAAAATTCATCCAGTTCTTAACGGCCTCAAAGCTAAGAAGAGGAGTCTTCCAAGCTCTCGGGATCGTTAATTTGGTAGCCATAAATAGATGCAATGCCAGCTGCCACTCAGGACAAAGTAGGCCTACTAATGGTTTAAATAATAGCACCTTGTATGGGTTGCCCTTAATATCTGTGTGTAACATAGTGCGGAGAAGGGCATAGACCCTAGTCCATAACCTGCACGCCTTGGGGCAAGTCCACCAAATATGAGCCATGGTGCCTATTTGTTGATAACCCCCGAAAGCAAGTCGGAGAATATGAGGGGATAAAACGAGGCAGCCGGGCAGGCATATAATACCATCTGTAAAGGACCTTATAGGCATTTTCTAAAATAAGAACATTCCTCAAATATTTAGACACTACTTGAGTCATGATCCGCCAGTCTTGCTGATCTAGACAACCCCCGAGTTCCTATTGCAAATGCTGATGATAATGAACCGGGGGGAGTCCTATAAGAAATAATAGCAGGGTAGACAAGAGAGATCAAGCCAGGAGCATGAGGCCTGTGCCTGCAAAGGCTTTCAAAGGTCTCTTGTACTTTTTCAAGCAACAGACATCTAGCAACAGGCACCTGAGTGCTCAGGTATGAACAAGCACCAATTAAAACAATTAGATTTTTAAATGTTGAGCGTTTTGTAGCTTTGAACTATAAAACACCCAGGTATGGATGGGGCCTTTATGATTACAGAGCTGAAACAATTTATGTCTTTTACACCTGCCTAAAGTTCAGCTCTAAAATGGAATATACGGCTATATCTAACTAATCTTAAATATGCTCCCTTCCCTCTAACTTGCATCTATGCTCACTAACCTGTATCAGAAAGATATATATATTTACCAATTTTCAGGCCAAACCAGTCATGTGATCTCCCCGTCAGCCAGCTGCAGCCGCAAGGGAGAGGAGAGTGCTCTCGACAACGGTTGGTAATGCCTGGGAGCACCGATGTCACCCATAGGCTCCTATGGCCCATCTGTTGTCAGATGAAGAAACTTCAGCCCTGATGCAAGCAGTGGGCTATTGGAAAATGTAATATAAATGTAAAAAAGGCCTTGATGGGTGGAAGCCAGTCTGGAGGAGTTGGGATTCCTTTGCAGACTGCCCTATGTAACACCCATATGTGGCGCAAGGTCTTCATTAAAGAATCCAATGAATGAAAGGGACTTACTGGAGTCTGGGACTGGGAAAATGAGAGCCAGATGATGTTAGACATCCTCCGACCAGGAAAAGAGGCGGGCTCCATCAGACTTGCTTAAGCTTCTAATACACCTACGAGCTTCTAACAGTGTGCAGTGAAATCTGAGTAAGTAATTTCAATACAGGAAAGGAACCTGTACAACGGTGCAACACAAGAGAAGTCTGGAAGTAAGCTTTAAACAAAGAGAGACTTTAGTCTTTGAGGTCTACTACTTCACTAGGATGCTTGGAAAATCATACTTAACTGGTATATTTCTAGTAAGAAGACATGTACAAAAAAAAAAAAATGGCACAGTCAGCGTATAACCGAGGCTATATTAACTACATAAAATTTGCTGTTTTTTTAAATCCCCTATACAGTAATACCCCGGTTTACGAATTTAATTCCGTCTGCGGGAATTTTCATATAGTGAAAAATTTGTAAACCGAAACACTGTTTCCCATAGGAATGCATTGAAAACCAATTAATCCATTCCAGAGGTCCAGAAAAAAGTAAATGCTTCTAAAATACCACATGAGTTATTTTATTAAGTCATGCAGTATTTTAGTAGTGACAACCCTGTGTTAATGTTTAAGCTGTCAGCAGCGTTTCCCACTGATAGACGAATGTAAAAGAATTGCCAGCAATTAAAAAAATAGTTTAAAAAATGGTGTGGGGTTCCCCCTCCTATCCATACCAAGCCCTTCGAGCCTTTTAGTTTATTTCCCCAAGTTAAAAGAAACAATGTTTCCTTTTAGTTTCTTTAAAGAAACAAAGTTTCCTATAACTCTGGGGAAAGTGACAGCTAATCTTGTGAACTATAGTGAAGGAAAAAAAAAGCCGGCAAATTGCATTTAAAAATCAGCACCAAAATACACTTTGTATTGCGAAAAAAATTAGTAAAAAATTAGTAAACCGAGGCATTATTTTCAATGGATTTTCATTCGTAAACTGAAAATTATGTTTTAACCGAGGCATTCGTAAACCGAGGTACCACTGTAAAAGGAAAGTGTGCAGTGGCTGTAGATATGAATGGTTGATGTCACGTGGACCAGAAAGAATCAATATGGAGGTCACTTACCAGCATCTTTAATCCACTCATCGTAAAGAAGTACTGCTCTGGATGTTAGTTCCTTGAAAGCCATGTTCAACTGAGTTCTGTTAGAGAAACAAATCATATATTTTGACGTTAATGGGATTGTAGATGATGGAAGATTCATTTTATATCTGTATAAGGCTCTGCAATTTCCAACCTAAAGTACAAGTAAAGGTTCCTGTATGACAGTATAAACACATACTAAATCCACTTATGTGATGCACAAGCCTCAAAAAACGTAAACGAAAAAAATTCCTTAGCCTTCCCAGACTGAATCAAATCCTTCTTCATTTGTTCTCATGTGCTTCCCCTTCCAGACACTGCAGCTCAGTCAGGGAAAGCAATCTGTACATCATGAACAGTTATAATTCCAGCTTGTTATCACTGCTCGGTTTGGTGCAGTCGTAGCTTTTTCTGCTTGTTGTGCGAGGGCACAAAGAAATCAATAGTTTTCTATGTGCCTTGTTCCTGTGCATGAAAACCCCTACTTAGCAATGCAAAATCACATATACATACGTGATTTAGCGTTCCCCTGCTGCCCTGTAGCAGTATTTCTGCTATAGGGCAGAGGGGGAAGCGGTTAAACATCACATACACTGCACATGCAGCGCAGAGCACCTGCCAGTTTCCTGCGGATTAGCTGCACTGAGCTGTAGTCTTCTATTATATCCTGCGGGTTTGGTACACTTTCAGAAAGTGCATCACACCAGCAAGACATATTAGAATTATATGGCTCAGTGCTGGTAACCTGCAGGAAAGCCGCAGGTGCACTGTGTTGCACACATGGTGCGGGTAAACTGCAACGCATCGGTGTGAAAACAGTCGAAGCCCTCATGTACACGGGACGTTTTAATAACACTGGTAACATTAGCTGTGTAAAGTCACATTAAAAACGTGAGTTTTTAGCTTTTTTAGAGTTCTCTGCATTAGCGTTTAGCAGTGTTTTCTGGAGATTAGCGCGTTTTCCCTAATTTTTCTGTGTTTGCGTTTTTAGCGTTTCTATACCTAAAAATGTTTTTGGGTCAAAAAAACTTCAAAAGCGCCGGTTTACAGTGTTTTACCGCTTTTTTTCAGCGTTAGAGCGTTTTTACAGCTAAAAAACTCGTAGAAACCCAATAGTCCTGGGTATTTATTTCAGCCAAAAAACATCCCAGCCAAAAAACGTTGATTACAGTCTATGCGTGCACGGACACATAGGATAACATGCTGGAGGGTTTGCTAGCTATAGAAAAAGACGTAAAAAAGCCAAAGACAGCAGTTGTAAAAACATCAAGTGTGCATGAGGGCTTATAGGGGGCTGAGGACAGAAAGGGCTCATTTACATTTGGAGTTTGGGGGGGGTAAAACCCTATGGTTCATTGTGGCCCATTACTGGTTACCAGATCACTTTAGTGGCCCTTGCTCTTCAAAAGGCTGTGCACCCCTGTGCTTGATTATTTCTCCCAGGTCACAATCATGTGCAGAACCCAAGGACATGATATCTTTGCCCATCTAGCCAAAAATGGAATGTTGTCTCACAGGTAGCCCAACAGGCACAACTACATACAGCTATTATCTCATGAATACCTGAAATGAAAAACAAAAAAAACGAAGCTCCTGCATGAAACCTTTACACTGACATGCCTGAAATATGCTCAACATTCTTTATATTTTTTTTCCCACAGCAAAATAGTTTACATTCCACATTTCCTCCCTGAGCCATACTTCTGCTCGCTTACTGTACACAAGACACTTGTTACATGATGTACAGTGTGCATTGTGTGTGTATCAATTCTGGATTAGTATTAGTCCTCATGCACACTTGACGTTTTTACAGCTGCTGTTTTTGGCTCGAATGCTGAAAGACGCAGTAAAATGCCTCAAACCTGTGTTTTTGGACTTTTTTTTTACCCCCCCCCCCAAATTTTTTTTTTGGTAAACAAAAAGCTAAAAAATGCACACACTAAAAAAAAAGCGGAAGAACTCAAGTTTTTAATGTGCCTTTACACAGCTAATGTTACCAGCGTTATCAAATCGTTGGAGATACTCGGCGATCACCGGGTGCCAGCGAGAAATCACCAGCCGGGATCTGTCGATTGACAGCCGAGGCTGTGAATGGCGGCACGGGTAGGGCACGCATGCCCTCCTACCTGGAAGTGTGCGAAATCACGTATATGTATGTGATTTTGCATACCCGTGCCGCCCTGTAGCAGTATTTCGGCTATAGGGCGGCGCGGAAGCAGTTCATTATGTTTGCATTCCTTCAAGTCCTGATTAGAAATTAGCCTGCCTATGTAATGCCCCGCGTTGCCACGACACATCATGTGCACATCAATTCATCTAGTCGTTAAACTCTCCTGGCAGCCAAAAAATCCTGAATGCGGCAAAAACAAGTGCTTTTAGCGCTTGGACGTTTATTCATTTGATTGGCATTGACATGTATAAATGCCCAAGCTAGTGTTTACACGCGTTTTGCCAGATTTAGCGTTTTGCAATCAAAAAAGGAACGTTTAACTGCCCCTAAACTCTGTTGCTCCTAAACTCTGGTAAAAGCCTACGTGTACATGGACACAGGCTTTTACTGAGCTGAGTTCAGGGACTTTAGCAAAAAAATGCCAAACACTCCTAAACTCACGTTTAGAAGCAGCAGTGTACATGAGGCCTAAAAGTACAATTGTAAAATTCATGTGATACCTACTTAACCACTTCCCGTCCGGCCCATGTACATAAACGGCCAGACGGGAGCAGTGCAGGAGCGGGTGGCCGTTTATAATAGTCCTGCCGCATTCCCTGCCTGTGCGTGCTCCCTGGGAGTGCGTGGCACTGCGAATCGGTACCGCGATCGCTGTACAGGACCTCTGTGTGAGGTCCCGATCATGTGATCACTGATTGGCCAATCAGTGATTATATGAATAGTAGTAAGCAAGATGTCAGTTCCTGACATGCGCGTTCTCAACATATATGTTTTTTTCTTAATTGCACACAAATGTGCGGCCGTCCTGAAGAGGTTAAACGTGCATTTTTAGTTATATTTCACGTGTTTTTTCTAGTGATGCACTGAAATTTCGTCCAAAAACAACCCTATCGGCCTTTGGCTGATATGAAAATAAGCACCGATACAGGTGCTGGAAATAACCCCGCCCCTCGCTCCCACTCGGTGGTCCTCAGCCTTACCTGAGAAATCATCGAACGATCCCGGTGCTGGGCATAGAGATAAGTGAAGGAAAGATGGCCTCCACACATCTCTATGCCTTTGGAGGACCAGAGCAACATCATGTCCGGTTCTGGCGCCTTTTTTTTTTTTTTTTTTTTAAATCGCCTCCTGCCCGCCATAAAAGGAAATGAGGAGTGGGCGGCGGTTCTCTCGTTCTGGTTAAAAAAAAAAAACTCTAAAAAAAAACGCTGCTAAACACTAATACAAACAAATGCTAAAAAATGCTGAAAAACTCACGTTTTTAACGTGACTATACACAACTAATATTATCAGTGTTATTAAAACACCCCGTGTGCATGGAGCCTTATATATGGGTGGTTTGTTTATTTTCCTGGAGTTGGGCTTTTACTTCCACGTTTGTGTTTATTCAGCACCAAGAAACGTTCCTCTGGCGGACACACACAGTCCTCGGTTCTAGAACAATGAAGATTTATGTGGCCCCCTTGATGCAGGCAGTAGAACAGTACTAGTTGGTACCAGGCCCTCAGTTCTCCTCAGCTCATTAGTCATTCACCCTTCCACAATCTTCACTGTATATTTGAACTGTGCTGAGCAGATAAGGATGTGACAAGAAGGCTAAAGCAATCACAGAGGACAGCATTCTGGAACTGACATCTAGAAACCATCAATTATCTCCTCACAAGACTGCTAGGCCTCAACATTCCTGAAGATTCATTACACTCCAGCCCTCACACTAAAATGCCTGCACTCTGGTGTACATTGTGTAGGAGCAGCGCAATGCAGTGTTACAGCACTGGGGGTTTTAACTACATTCACAAAAAATTCAAAGCACAGCAGTGACATGCTACATTTTTATCTGGCACACATCACCACACATGTATGATGCGGACAAGGCACACAGAAACAAACTGCTGCCCTTACATTGAGCCTATGTTGGTCTATGCCGGGTGTCGGCAACCCGTGGCTCCAGAGCCGCATGCGGCTCTTTTTCACCTTGGCTGCGGCTCCGGAGCACACTGCCCACCAGGTGACAGGCAATAGGGCAGCAATGGGCAAACTACGGCCCGGAGGACCTTTTAATCCGCCCCGCGGAGCTAGGCTCCTCTCACAGTCTGCCCTGAAGACCGGTGTAGCATGAAAATCTGTCTCCTATGAGGATCTGTCCCCCTCGACGTATCTGTGCATGTGCCGGAGATCGCCGATCGGCTGCTAATGCCTGAAACTGGCACATGCGCAGATACGTCGAGGGGGACAGATCCTCATAGTAGACAGATTTTCATGCTACACCGGAACGGCGCGGGAACACGGCGAGAGGAACGCGCGGAGCAAAGGTAAGTGAATTGACACAGGGGGGACTTGGGGACTTAATATGGGGGATGAATTAATATGAGGGATGAATTACTATGGGGGGGATGAATTACTATAGGGGGGATGAATTACTATAGGGGGGATGAATTACTATAGGGGGGATGAATTACTATATGGGGGATGAATTACTATATGGGGGATGAATTACTATGGGGGGATGAATTACTATATGGGGGATGAATTACTATGGGGGGGATGAATTACTATGGGGGGGATGAATTACTATATGGGGGATGAATTACTATATGGGGGATGAATTACTATGGGGGATGAATTACTATGTGGGGGATGAATTACTATGTGGGGGATGAATTACTATGGGGGATGAATTACTATGTGGGGGATGAATTACTATGTGGGGGATGAATTACTATGTGGGGGATGAATTACTATGTGGGGGATGAATTACTATGTGGGGGATGAATTACTATGTGGGGGATGAATTACTATATGGGGATGAATTACTATGGGGGGGATGAATTACTATGGGGGGGATGAATTACTATGGGGGGGATGAATTACTATATGGGGGATGAATTA